CCAGAAAACTGGCTGGGGCTGCACACACTTCTCCTCTGGGGTGTCCTCATCGTGTGCCCCTCAGGGTCTCCCTGATGGACTCTGGTCTTTCCCCAGGTGGCAGGGTTTGGAGGGTGAGCCCTCTCTCAGGGGCGCCCTCCTTGCGCGCAGTCTTCTGCTGCTTCTAAGTCAGACATACGCAGAGCACGTGTGCGGGGCCTCTGGGGGAGGAGGTGTGATGCTGGGTCCAGCTGTGGTCTTGGAGCAGCTGTGCCCGGGCTCTGGGAGTGACAGCCCCTGCCAGCCCTCACCTCAGCGTTGGCGCCCGCAGCCTCTTGACTCTGCCCCTCCAGGTGGTTGGCACATTGGCTAGAATAACTCGTGGACCTGTCCTTTCCTTCTGAATGTAATCATTATCGATCAGCTTTGGCCATTTTCCTTCTCTGTCTCAGGGTGCAGTCCCCATGGGACTTTGCAGCAAGGCCCCCTCTGCTGCCCTTCCACTCCAGTAGCTGAGCATTTCCTCATATCTGTATATAATCTACTCCAAGCTTTTCATAAGTTGGTCCCTGACTCATGATGGTTTGACTTACGATTTTTCAACTTTATGATGCTGCAAAAGTGATACACATTCAGTAGAAACCATGCTTCGAATTTTGATCTTTTCCTGGACCAGCAATGCAGGGTGGATACTCTCTCCTGATGCTGGGCAGTGGCAGCTGCAGCTCCGCAGGTCACAAGGGTGCACAGCGGTGCCCTGACAGCCGTTCTATATTCACTTTCAATCAATTACATGAGATAGTCCACATTTTAGTATAAAACAGGCTTTGTGCTAGATGGTTTCGCCCACTTGTAAGCTAACGTGAGTGTTGTGAGCACGTTTCAGGAAGGCCAGTCTCAGCTGTGACGTTCGTTAGGTTCAGTGTGTTAAATGCGTTTTCGACTTATGATGTTCGCAGCTTACAGTGGGTCTGACCCTAACCCTAACCCCATCGTAAGTCGAGGAGGATCTGTAGTCTCTCTTCTGGGCTAAACAAACCCTTTTTTCCTTCTGAAAAAGCAGGGGGCAGCTGACGATCTTTCAATATAAATAGTTGGACTTCCCTGGTGGCGCAGTGAATAAAACTCCGCGCTCCGAATGCGGGGGGCCTGGGTTCAATCCCTGGTCAGGGGACTAGATCCCACATGCATGCCACAACTAAGGAGCCCTGGAGCTGCAACTAAGGAACCCACCTGCCGCAACTAAGACCTGGTGCAACCAAATAAATAAATACAATATAAATAGTTTAGTTCAACCCAGCAAATACATCCTTCTTGTTAGGTGGGTGGTCTGCAGAGCAAGGGGGGCAGGGTTGTTGGGAGGAGGGTTAGGGCATTGGGGACCAGCGGGCAGCTTAGTGCAGTGAGGAGGGCCTAGCGGCAGGTAGCTTCAGCGTGTGCCTCCGCCTGCCCTGCACGCTGGGCTGGACATTGCTCGAGGGCTTTGCAGATGTCAGCTCACTCACCCTCACTTCAGCAGTACAGCAGTCCCCACCTTACAGTCAGGGAAACTGAGGCACAGAGGGAAGGCACTTACCCACGCTGCATGACTGGTAAGTGCTGGAGCCCAGATTCCAGCTCCAGCCCCAGAAGTCTGGCTCCAGGTTCTACTTGAGTCTCTGGGGTGGGGCCTTCCAGTGTCTGGTGTTGAGTGGTGTCCCTGGCCTCTACCCCCTACATGCCAGGAGCACCCCTCCCCCAAGTTGTGACAACTAGGAGTGTCTCCAGACAGTGCCAGGTCTGCCTGTCCTGTACCAGCTACCTCGCCTTCCACATGCCGCCTTCCTGATAGGACTCTGAGAGTATAGCAGATGCATTGCACCTTTGATCATGAAAACATTTACACATAGGGACAAGCTGACAGCGTGGTCCCAGAGAGTTAATTATCCAGATGCCACCACCTAGATCTACCCATTATTAACATCTTGCCCTAGTGGGTCTATTTCTGTATGAAAATATATATTTTGTTGTCGTTGGATCATTTGAAAGTAAGTCACAGACATTTTGACACATAATCTCTAAACACTTCAGTGTGCATCCCCTAAGCAAGGGTATTATGTAGCCGCAGTAACCGTCATGCCTAAACATCGTAATTTTTGTGCTCCCTGGTATCTGGGGTCCCTCAAATGTTTCATAGGTGCTTTCTTTAAGACTGAGGTTTAGTCAGGGTTCATGCTTTGCACTTGGTGCAAAGTCATCCCACGTTTTTTCTCGTGACTTTTTTTTTTAACTTGTAAGGAACAATTGCAGATATTTACAGAAGTAGAGAAAACTGATAAATGCCGGTGCCGGGCACCAGTAGTTCTCAATGCGTGGATGCTAATGGCTTTCTGGTGAGGCCGGGCTGCTGTTTAGAGACACCCCAGGCTCGGGAATTCTCGGGGTCACTGATAAGGACGAGGAGCCCCAGGGCTGGCAGCTGCTGGCTGTTGTCATTTCTGATTCCGTGGGCTTGTGACCTCGCTGAGAAGACCAGAATCGCAGCAGAACGCTCGCTGGCCAGAGGAGCAGGCAGCTGGTGTGCGGGGCGTCCCGGCCTCGGCCGTCTTGCCTGGTTCCTCACGCTGGCCCTGAACCTACCCCACCCCGCACCCCCGCCCCCAGGCCACAGCTCCGCCTCGGGCTCCAGCCCCCTCCCAGGCTGACCACTCCAGCGTACGCCCCCTCCCTGCGTGAGAACCCTGGGACACCCCCGGCCCCCGCCACAGCTCGCTTCACTGCCCACCCTTTTCGTCTGGGCGCCCCTCCCCACCTCTGACCACACATGTTCTCCAGTCACAAGCCGCACGGGCCTGTCTCCTCCCCAGCAACGCCCCCCAGTGTCCGGGTGGAAGACCCACTTGCTGCCAGGCCGCAGGGTCCCTGACACCCCCTCGCCTGGTGCTGCCCCTGCGTGCGGCGCGTGGGCCCCACCGCTAGGGTCTGGCCTGGGACACAGCCAGGGCTGTGGGCTCAGAGAGTGGGGAAGGCAGGCCTGCCGGAGACGGGGCCAGAGCCAGAGGAGGGCAGCAGGGATGCGGGCAGGAGCGTTCTGCCTGCACGTGGCCCCTCACGGGCAGGGTGTGTTTGGTGGGTGTGTGGGGTACAGGGAGGGGTCTGGACACCTCGCAGAGAGCAGGCAGCGCCGGGCAGCCAGGCAGGGCTGCCTGAGGGGGAGGCCCGGTGTGGAGCGCCCCCCACGCCTGCTGGTGCCACAAACCCTTGTCATCTGTGGGGTGGGAGGTGACTGGGGTCCCAGCCTGCAGCCGCTGTGTGTGCCATGCCCCAGGCCAGGTCAGGTCGTGTGGGCCAGGTAGGGGGGCAGCGGGGTGGACGGCAGGCTGGGCCGCCCTCTGGCACGGAAGGCCTGGGGCTCTGCATGCCCGAGTCCACTCGCCACTGCCTCTCTTGCCTTTGCGGGGCTTTCCTTGAGGATCTGCCCTTGCTGTGTGTGGCCTTATGGGGTGGAACTTCCTGTCCTGTCTCCTCTTGGGACGGCAGGTCATGGACCTTTTCCTTTGACTTTTGTGTTGTTCTGCATCCTCGAAATCGCCTTCAGGGCTGTGTGCTTTGGCCAGAAAGTGATTGGAAAGTCAGTTCCCTATTTGGCCCATAATAATAATACTAACGTTCATGATAATAGTGTTAACGTCTGTGTTGTGGGCCATGACTTACTTTGCACAATCTTTTTTTCCCCTAAAAACTGAGAATTTAGAGTTGGGGAGTCTGTGGTTGAGGAACTCTTTAAGGTCTTATTCAAATAGGATTGGGAGACCAAGGCTGCCAGTGAGGGTCGAGGAGCCGCGATGTTTCTTCCGTGGCCCCTGAGACAGCGCAGCATGTTGGCCTGTCTCCCTGGCACTTGGCTTCTCTACCTGTCCCTCCCTCCTCCGGGCAGAAGCTTTCCGGGTCTGGCCGCTGGGGGCTCAGCAAGCACAGGTTCCTTGTGCCCTCGTTGGCTTTCGGAGCAGGCGCCACCCCGAGGCCCTCTGCCTCCTTTCTGATCGTGTGGTGAAGCATTCTCGACCCTTCCTTGGGAGGCCGCTGGTCTCAGCAGCGGGAAATAGGAAACGAGGGCTCTCGGGGCCCAGCAGAGTGTTGGGGGCAGGGACCGAGGGGCGTTTCCAGTGGCCTGTGGAGGGGCTTCCGAGGAGGACGCCCCATGCGCAGATGCACGTAGCCTTCCCTTCCCTAAGAGCCTCGCTCTTAACCCGGCGGAGCCTCTGCCTCCCCGCGTCAGACACGCGAGCGCCCAGGAAGCACCAGTGCTCTTCAGTGATGTGTCTGGGGCGGGGTGGGGGGGGGTCCCTGCCTGTGTAAGGCTGGGGAGGCATGTTCCCGCCGCCAACCCTGTGCCCTCTGCTCACTTCGCAGTCCCAGCTCTGCCACTTCCACTCGGCCCTGCTGCAGGGCAGGCTGAAGCCCTGGCCATCCCCCACTGCCTTCTTCAGGAGAAACCTCGGGGCACCGCCTGCAAGGTGGTGAGTTGGCCACGGGCACCTTCCAGGGCATGTGCCCCTCATCAGGAGGGGCGACCTCTGTTGGGGGGCCGTGCCTTCTCTACGCCACCCGCAAGACGGGACGCACCTGCTCCCACGTGCGGTGCGCTGGCCGCCCCACCGCCAGGGTCCTGGCCTGGGCCTCGGCCAGAGCTGTGGGCTCAGAGAGTGGGGGAGGGCGGGCCAGAGCGAGAGCGGGAGCAAGGGGTTGGAGGGCCGAGTGGGCAGCGGGCAGGATGGAGCCCGCTTGGAGCCCTGGGGTCTGGGGGGCTGTGGGGCTCAGGCGAGGTGACTCGGACCCGGAGGTCAGAGAGCACTGCGGTGACCACACAGGCGTCCGGAGTCGGTGCTGCCTGCCGAGGTCCTGGTGAAGCTGCAGCGGCTGCGGGCTGGGCCCGGAGAGCCAAGGCCGGAGGGGCCGGGGCAGACGGGAAGTAACCCAGGCCGTGCGCCTGTCGTCTTCCAGGCCCTCGAGACCGCAGCCCCTGTGGAAGAAGGCACTCTCCGCCACGGTGCTGGGGGTGCCCCTGCTCCTCGGGGCGAGGTACCTCATGGCTGAGCCACAGGAGAGGAGGCGGATGCGGCTCATGGTGGACGGCATTGGGCGCTTCAGCAGGTAGGGGGCTGGCAAGGTGGCGGCTTCTCCCCACTGCGTCCCGTCCTCAGGCGTGCGGGGCCTTGTGCGGGGGTTGGGAGGGGCAGCAGGGTTTTGCTGGGAACTCTGAAGCTGCCTTCCAGGGATCTCTTGTGCTGCCCGGTGGGGCAGCCGAGCGCTGCGGGGCCCACACCATCCACGCTGGGCATGGCCTCCGCAGCCTCATCTCCCTTCGGGCTGCCCACCACTCCCAAGGAGAGTTGGCATATCCAGACGGAGAGTTTGGGGCTCACAGGGGGGGCTCACAGGGGAGGACTGCCTCTCGCCTCCACTCCCGGTGTCCTGGACTAGTGACGGGCCTTGTTGGTCATTGGCGTCCAGGGCGCCTTAAGCAGAAGGGTCTCTCATACTCCTGTGTCTCCCGGGGCAGGATTCTGGGGGTGTGGGGCGGTCTTCCCATTGGAGCAGCTTGGGCAGGCATTCCTGCTCCAGTCAGATCCAGGAATTCCTACAGCCACAGGGTCTTGAGAGCTAGTTCTTGGCATTGAGTGAAACTTCAGCTTACCCAAACCCATGGTTGGACTGGGGGTGCACGATTGCCTGGGGAGGGGGCTCACATGAGACCTTGGTCGAGGAGGCCGCTGCAAGTGTCCTGCTCTGCCGGCTCTGAGCTCCTGCTGCCCTTTGGGAGCCTGGGTCGGTTTCCCAGCGCAGGCTCAGGATGCCAAGGACTTGGGGCACTTGGCCGGAGCTTTGCTGAAATTTACCCCAGTGGCAGCCATAGGTGGGCAGATGGCCAAACGCTTTACCTCATTCCATCTTCGGGATGAAACAAGGCCTTCTGTCCTCAGCTCGCTGGCAGCGGCTGCACCCACGCCGTCTTCCAGGGTGGTGGTTTGATGGGTTTGCCTGGAGCTCCCACTGGCCCTCCTGGGCAGGTTCTAGGCAGTGGCCTCTGTGTCCTGCAGGGTTTCCCAGTCTCCACAGCCTAGAGATTGATGAGGGCAGAGCCTGGGGTTGGCTCTCCTGTGGCTTTCCACCATGAGGGACCGCACAGGACCAGTGGGGACTGTCCCCAAGCAGCCTGGTTCTGAAGATCACACTGAGCAGGTCTGGGCCATCTCACCTGCTGCTGCTGCGTATGCGCTGCTGTTTCCCAGCATTAGCTACCCCATGGCAGACTCGGTATACCCCTGCCTTCTCCACTTCCCTCCTGAAAAGGGTATTTTTACAGCTTGCTTTCAGAGGCTGAGCTAGAGCTATTTTCCCAACAATCTGTGCGGTCTCGTCAGCTCTCAGCCCTAACAGTTGCCAGGACAGGCAGGCCTGATGGAGCACCCCTGGCTGGGCGCAGGGTGACCACGGGGCCTCTGGAGACCTCGGGGCCCACAGCGCGTCCTGGGTAACAGGGCAACGTACGTGCAGGAGCCCAAGGAAGGAGCGTGGGTGGTGAGTAATTCAGGACCAGCTCGCCCAAGGGCAGCGGGGCTCATCCTGTTGTGGGAGGGGAGACCAGAATGTACCACACACGCCCAGGCTCACTCACAGGGGCTGCGGTGGTGGAGGGTGGCATCGGGGTCCATTTCTGCCCCCACCCCTTACTTAATTTTAACTTTTAAAAATCCTGTGGGCTTTTTTTTGACACAATTTCAAATGTCCAAAGAAGTTGGACTGATAACATAAAAGAACTTTTTTCTTTTTGAAACATTGACAAATAAGTTGTCAACATGCCCCATTACCCCTGAAACCTTGAGTTATTTCCTAAACAAGGACATTCTCCTCCACAGCCACAATCGGGAAGCTGACACATTGTGACCCTCTAACCCTCAGACCCTGTGTTATCAGGTGCCCCAGTAACAACCTTTTCAGCCCCAGGACCCCACCTGGGCCCATGTCAGTCTCCAGTCTGGAAGAGTCCTAATTGTCTCCTCAGCTCTCATGGCTAAACTCGAGGTCAGGGCATGGCCCCCCAGACCCCCACTTGCCCAGGGCGTCTGACACCAGCTGCAGGTTCCAGCGTCCGCATGGGTTCCCTCACCTCAAACCACTGGCTACAAATTGGGGGGGTCCCCACAGACTCCCTCAGTTTTGATAGTTCCCTAGGACAACTCAGGAGATACTGTACTTATGATTATGGTGTTATCTTAGCAGAAAAATAAAGTTGGAATCAGCAAAAGGAAGAGATGCCCAGGGTGAGGTGAGGTCTGGGAGGGTCCTAGCCTCAGAACTTCATGTCCTCTGACACATCCCCCACCTCTCATCCCCCTCTGACAGTACACGTGGGTCACCCCCAAGCTTTGGTGTCCAGAGTTTCATCTCATAGCCCTGATTGATTGAAGACCCTGAACTCTAATCCCGTGGTTGTCCTTTCTGGCTGGCAGAGCCCCTCCCTGGTGTGAACCGTCAAGGCTGTTATGCGGCTCCGATGCTGCCGTCACTCAGGAAATCTCATGGGTTTAGAGGCACCTCCCAGGAGCTGGGTAACGTTAATTCTTCGTCACATGATGACCTTGACATGTTTGTGGGCAGATAGGCCATAATATTGTACAACAGGGGTCAGCAGACTCTGGCCCTGTGCCAAATACAAGGGTCAGAGGTGCTGCCTGTTCTATAAATAGAGGTCCTTGGAGCGGCAGCCACGCCCCCCTCACCCTCCTGAGGCTGCCCCTAGGACCCAAAGTATTTATTGTCTAACGTTTTCAAGAAAAATTTTGCCGAGCCCTGATGTGGGTTTGTCTGATGTTTACTCCCAGTTTGTCCCATTGTTTCCCTCTTTGCTTCCCTTGTCCTTTGATGTGGGTGCCTGTGCCCCTTGCCCTTCCGTCGCTAGTTTAACGTCCCCAGTACTTCTCGGATGAGCTCATTCCTACCTCTCAGCCGTCCCATCCACCCTGAGGGCTTGTGTTCCACCATAAGGGAAAACTCTGTCCTCCCACGTGTTCCTTCCTCTTGCTTGCGTCAGTCTGGACGGGGACATTTTACTCCGAGGGCTGCTCTCACTCAGCATCAGTGCTGTGTAGTTGCTGAGACTGGGTTTGGCTCATAGGAGGAGCCCCTCCACCTGGCTTTTAGGACCCTTCTCTCTCTTTTTTTTTTTAATATTTATTTAGGCTGCACCGGGTCTTAGTTGCAGCACACAGGATCTTTAGTTGCGGCACGCAGACTCTTAGCTGTGGCATGCATGCAGGATCTAGTTCCCTGACCAGGGATGGAACCCGGGCTCCCCGCATTGGGAGCACGGAGTCTTAACCGCTGCAGCACCAGGGAAGTCCCCCTCACCCTTCTCTCTTTAAAAAAAAAAATTATTTATTTATTTTTGGCTGTGTTGGGTCTTCGTTGCTGTGCGCGGGCTTTCTCTAGTTGCGGCGAGTGGGGGCTACTCTTTGTTGTGGTGCGCGGGCTTCTCATTGCGGTGGCTTCTCTTGTTGTGGAGCATGGGCTCTAGGCACGTGGGTTCAGTAGTTGCAGCACGCGGGCTCAGTAGTTGTGGCTCACGGGCTCTAGAGCGCAGGCTCAGTAGTTGTGGCGCACGGGCTTAGTCGCTCTGCGGCATGTGGGATCTTCCCAGACCAGGGCTCAAACCTGTGTCCCCTGCATTGGCCCACGGATTCTTAACCGCTGAGCCACCAGGGAAGCCCCTGACCCTTCTCTTTTAATCTCCAGCATCTGACTGTAAATTGTTTCAAACATACAGCAGAGCTGGTGAGTCTGGCTTTTATCAATAGCATCTCGGAACCCTTCCAATGCCCTCCGTCCTTTGAGCATTTTACTCCAGCTGGCAGCACAGTCACTCCAGGCTCAGCCTTGGAAGCAGCCAGTCTCCCGATGGTTCTTCGGGATGGAGCAGGGGCTCGGGGGCCACGGTGAGGATGCTGGTGTGCTGGCCACTCTGGGCTGTCTGCCCCAGGCTCCTCCATGGACAGGGGCTGCGGGTGTGCGTGCGTGTGTGGCTGTGAGCACACACGCCCAGGGCCATATGTTTGCTTCTGTGGGCAGCCATCGACGGCAAACCCGCTCTTCCATTTCCCACACGGGTCATTCTGGTTTTCTCCCTTTCTGTGTCTGTAACTCCTTCTCCAACTGGGAGAAGCCCGGCTCCCCTTGTCCCTAATTTACTGACCTATTAGCTAGGCCACCCCGAGTATAGCCATCACCCCACTGCCCTCACCTGCACCCCTACCCTCACTTCTGTGCAGACCTTGCATTAGCTTTTGGACGAATTATTCAGGAAGGAGGGCAGCTCCTCTTTGGGTCTCAGGGTGCTCAGAGAAATCCTGTCTCCTTGCTCACCCTGCCTCACACAGACAGCCCTGTTTGCTTCCTGTGTCAGGCTGGGGTGGGTGGGACAGACCCGGTTCGTGGCACTCAGTCTGGGCTGACCTCATTGCTCTAAGACACCGGTCCCTACAGCTGCTGGGAGGGCAGGAAGCCTGTGCAGGATCCGGCAGCCTCTTCCTTCCCACCTTTTCATCCTGGCCCCTCGCGGCGAAGGGGCTGGAACAGGATATGCTGGGGCGGGCGGAGGCTTGGCCTGCACCGGGGCCCCGAGAAGCAGGAGCCCCACACCTGCTCGTGACGGTTTGAGGGGCTGGGGTCTGCGGCACTGGAGGCCTGGATTCTGGTCCTGGATCCTCCCCTCTCCAGACCCAGGGCCGCCTTGTCCGTAGCCTGGGGCGTGGGAGTGAGCGAGGACCCCTGCCCACACCAGAAGGCCTGGGCCTGCGGGACTTCCCAGGGCTGTGCCCTCAGCCGGGAGAGCAGGCCCCAGCTCTGGGGTTTGAGCCCCAGGGGCTCCTGTCCACTCCAGTCGGAGTGCAGAGGAGACAGGACCAGTGGTGCAGGGGGGCCTGAGCGAGGGCATGTCCACAGACGGAGCAGCCATTGCAGCTGTGCTGGCTCGTGGATGGATTTTCTTGTGTAACAAGTGTTATCAAAGGATGAAAAGAGCACGCCCGCTTGTTAGGGCCCGAGGCCCCGTTCCCATCCCAGGCGCCCCTGGGTGCACGTTCAGGGGCTGAGGGGTGGTGTGGATGCAGGATGCCCAGTCCACAGCCCAGCGGCTGAGACTGACCTGCTGGCCACGCAGTCCCGAGAGCCCAGCAGCCCCGCCAGGTGCTCACAGCGGTCCGGGGTGCTGGCGGGGATCTGAGGCGAGTGCCCGCTGGGGCTGAGGGCAGCCTGTGCCCACAGGTCTTTGAGGGTCGGCCTGCAGATCTCCCTGGACTACTGGTGGTGCACAAATGTCGTCCTGCGAGGGGTGGAGGAGGTTTGTTCCTGCGTCCTGGCCTGGCTGGTCCTGGCCTGCGGCCTGCGGGGATGGGGGTGCCCAGGTGGAGGTGCCCGCCCGCCCCCATCCCTTCCCTCTATACCTGTGGTCAGAACAGCCCGGGGTACTTGGAGGTGATGTCTGCATGTCACCAGCGGGCGGCTGACGCCCTGGTGGCTGGGGCCATCAGCAACGGGGGCCTCTACGTGAAGCTGGGCCAGGGGCTGTGCTCCTTCAACCACCTGCTGCCCCCCGAGTACATCAAGACACTGCGGGTGCTGGAGGACAGGGCTCTCACGCGGGGCTTCCGGGAGGTGAGCCCTTCTTGCGGGAGTGTGGAGGCAGGAAGCGGCCGCAGACTGCTCCGAGCCATGCCCCCCACCCCACCCCGCTGTCCTGCCAGGTGGATGAGCTGTTCCTCGAAGACTTCCGGGCCCCGCCCCACGAGCTCTTCCAGGAGTTTGACTACCAGCCCATCGCAGCAGCGAGCCTGGCCCAGGTGCACCGCGCCAGGCTGCACGACGGCACCGTGGTGGCCGTGAAGGTACGCGGGGCCCCCGCGGGGCGCCGCGGGGGGCATCCGGGCGCCGGTGGCCAGTCCTCCCTGCAGCCTCCCGTGTAGGTGCAGTACATCGACCTGCGGGACCGCTTCGACGGCGACATCCACACCCTGGAGCTCCTGCTGCGGCTCGTTGAGCTCATGCACCCCAGCTTCGGCTTCAGCTGGGTCCTCCAGGTAACCGTGGGGGCCCGAGGGGGCCGGGGGTGGGCCGCCTCCTGACCTGGACCTCCAGCTGCCCATGTGGCCCCCAGGACCTGAAGGGGACCCTGGCCCAGGAGCTGGACTTTGAGAACGAGGGCCGCAATGCCGAGCGCTGTGCACGGGAGCTGCAGCACTTCCGCTATGTCGTGGTGCCACGCGTGCACTGGGACGTGTCCGGCAAGGTGGGCTGGGTCCCCTCCTGGGCGGGGGTGTGCAGGCCTGCCGAGCTGAGGCACCTGTCCTCTCCCAGCGCGTGCTGACGGCGGAGTTCTGTGAGGGCTGCAAGGTCAACGACGTGGAGGCCATCAAGACCATGGGGCTGGCAGTGCGGGACGTGAGTGCTGCGGGCCGGGGCGGGGGAGGGTGTGTGTGCCGTGGGCCCAGAACGATGGCCTGTGGCCTGGCCTGTCCCCAGGTCGCGGAGAAACTGATCCAGACCTTTGCCGAGCAGATATTTTACACAGGCTTCGTCCACTCCGACCCCCACCCTGGCAATGGTAGGCAAAGGCCGCAGGGGGTGGGAGTCGGGTCTGGGGTCAGGGTGCGCCGGTGTGCGGCGGTGTGAGACGGCGCGCCCTGTTCCTAGTCCTGGTGCGGAAAGGCCCCGATGGGAAGGGACAGCTGGTGCTGCTGGACCACGGGCTGTACCAGTTCCTGGATGAGAAGTAAGCTGGGGGTGCGGGGGCTGGGTGGGCACACCCCGCCCTGCAGGCCGGCCTCCCCCCGCCCCCCGCCGCTCATTGCTGGGCCCCCCAGGGATCGGTCAGCCCTGTGCCAGCTGTGGCGAGCCGTCATTCTGAGGGACGAGGCTGCCATGAAGGCGCACGCGGCTGAGCTCGGGGTGCAAGGTGAGGCCGGGGTGGGTGTGAGGCGGGGAAGGGGGCACAGCCCTGGCTCAGGCCCCCCCAGACTACTTCCTGTTCTCCGAGGTGCTCATGCAGCGGCCTGTGCGCCTGGGGCAGCTGTGGCGCTCACACCTGCTGAGCCGTGAGGAGGCGGCCTACATGCAGGACATGGCGCGGGAGCACTTCGAGGAGGTCATGGCCGTGCTCAAGGCCCTGCCGCGGTCCATGCTGCTCGTGCTGCGCAACCTCAACACCGTGCGCGCCATCAACACCGCCCTGGGCGCCCCAGTGGACCGCTACTTCCTCATGGCCAAGAGGTGCCCACCCCCACCCTACCCCGCGCCTGCGCACAGCAGGAGGGGCGGAGGCGGGGCTGATGGCCTGTTGGTCGGTGGTCTCTGTGCAGCGCAGTCCGGGCCTGGAGCCGCCTGGCGGGCGCCATGAGCCAGAACACCTATGGTGCCAGCCTCCTGCGCCACATCAGGGTCATCTGGGAGTCGTTCAAGTTTGAAGTGGCCCTGAGGTGAGCAGGCGCGCGGGGTCCGAAGGGTGGGTAGCCAGGGCCCACCCCCCCCACCAACCTGCGACCCTTTGATACCCCCATCCCAGGCTGGAGACCCTGTCGATGCGGATCACTGCCCTCCTGGTCCGAGTCCTGGTCCACCTGGGCCTCATGCCCAAGAACAAGGGGCTGTACGAGTACCTGGAGATCTAGGGAGCCCCGGCAGGAGGACCACAGAGCTCGCCCCACTGCAGGCTGAGGGGCCGGCCAGGGCCAAGGCACAGAGGCCTAAGAAAGACCTGGGGGCACTGGAGTGACTGTGGCCTGGAGTTGGGCCTGCAATGACCACATGCTCTTCTCAAATCAAACAAATGTTTTTCTTTGTGTTTTGTACAAAAGCGGGGTGGGGAAAGTGGCAGTATCCAGGGGTCTAGAAGTGGGCAGTGACTCGGTCCGTCTCCAACAGGTCGTCCAGGATCTGTGGGGAGAGAGGTGGGTGAGGGCAGGGGGCAGGGGGTGGGGGTGGGGGGTGGCTGGGGGCACGTGGAGGGGCAGGGCGGCGGGCAGCTCACGATGTCGGGCGTGGTGCCAATCTTCTTGGCCAGCTCCCCGCGCTCCATGGTGCTCAGGTACAGGTAGCGGTTGAGCAGCTCCCCATCCAGGACATTGCGCACCGCATTCTGTAGGACGCGCCGGTCCACGTGCAGCATCCTGGGGGGTAGGCGCGGAGGCAGTGAAGAGTCGGGACAGATGCGGGGTGGTGGGAGAGGGGGGCGGGGGGCGGCAGGCTCACCGGAAGGCACGCGGGTTGAGGCCGGCGTGGTGGGGCAGCATGGTGGTCAGTGCGTTCTGCAGCATCAGCAGCCGCCGGTAGGTCTTCTCCTGCATGGGCAGCAGGAGGCCGATGCCACCGTCCAGTGTGGCTAGAGCGGACACGGTGTGAGCCCCGTGGACCCCCACCACACCCCACTGCCACCTTAACCCCCTCTGCCCCACGCTCACCAAACCACGTGATGTGCTTATTCTCCCACACAACGGACTTCTTGCTGGGCCCTTCAGCAGCCCCCCGGCAGGGGGTCCTCCAGAACGTGTTCACGTGGGCGCCCACGTGGAAGTCCGCCCGGCGCAGCAGCCGCATGCCCCCGAAGCTCTCCTTGGCTGGGCCAGAGGGACCTCAGGTCACTGCCTGCCCGGCCCCATGCCCGACCCCCTGCCCAGGAGAGGGTGGAGGGGGCACTCACCTTCTGGCAGGTACATGTAGACCATGAGGTTGCGGTCACGGTCGGACACTAGGGAACAGAGCCCACAGTCAGCCCCAGCCCCAGTGACGTCCCGGGGACCCCAGCCCCCATGCTCACCCAGGAAGCCCAGCTGTGCACTGTCCACCATGAAGTCCACGCTGTACACTTCCAGGGGTTTGGCGTCCTAAGGACGGGAGGGGAGGGGAGGGACGGACGTCAGGGTGGGCCTGGGGCAGCACTCACCCACCCGCCGTGCAGCCCAGCCCCTCAGTACCCGGGACACGAGGCTCAGCGTCTTGCTCTCCTCCTGGTAGCGCAGCAGCGAGATGCTCTTCATGACGTCCGCGGCCAGGATGAAGTTCTTGACGCTGATCATCTGGTGGATGTAGAGCTGTGTGTCGATGAAGGCCATGCCTGTCAGCTCGCTGGCCCGCAGGCTCCACAGGAAGATCTGGGGGGTGGGAGGGGTGGGCGGTGAGTGGTGGGCGGTGAGTGGTGGGTGCCGGGGTGGGCGGAGAGGGGCAAACCTTCTGGCCGATGGCCGACACCAGGTGGCCGTTGCAGTGGCACAGGGCAGTCACGGGCCCCTTCTGCTCCTTCTCGTACAAGACCTTGAACTTGTTCTTGGTCAGGGGCTGGCCGGGCTCGGGCACCACCTCGATCACGTCCATGATCAGGATCTGTCAGGGAAGGCGGGTGGGTGATTCACAGGGGCTGCGTGCAGGCCGCTGGGCACTGCCTGCCTCCCACCCCCTGCCGGCCGCTTACCCGCCCTCGGCACGTGACCTCCTCCCCTTGCATGAGGCAGGTCCCGGCGGCTACGTAGCCCTTGAGGCCCGACACGGTTTCCTCACTGCGCAGCGACACCGTCTTCATGCAGGTCACGTGCTCCCACTCCTCTAGCTCGATCCTGCATCAGCCCAGGTCAGGACAGCAGCCCAGGTCAGGACAACTAGCCCAGGTCAGGACAGCTGCTCAGGTCGGGACAGCTAACCCAGGTCGGGACAGTTAGACTAGGTCGGGACAGGAGCCCAGGTCGGGACAGCTAGCCCAGGTCGGGACAGCAGCCCAGGTCGGGACAACTAGCCCAGGGCGGGACAGCTGCCCAGGTCGGGACAACAGCCCAGACCGGGACACCTGCCCAGGCCAGCCACCAGCCCCGACCTGGGCCCAGCCTCACCTGGCGTTGGGGATGGCCTCCCAGCTGACCGGGGAGATGAGCTGGATGGAGAAGGCCTCCTGCTGAGGGTGGATGTAACGGTCATCTGCACGGACAAAGGGGTGACAGTCAGGGAGGGTGGCCCCGAGAACGGGCCCAGCCTGGGGCACCTCGCACCTCTCTCAATGGTCTCAAACTCCTTCTCCTCGCCCGTCATGCGCGGGATGCGGGTGCACGGCGTGTTGGTGCTGGTGGCAACGGCATACACCTGGTGGGGGGAGGGCGGGGAGGGTGTCACATGCCAGAGGCCAGGCCCCCAGGCCCCAAAGGTCCCTGGTGCGGTGGGGTGGGGGGCGGTGTCAGACCTTGGACTCCACATGGTAAGCCACATAGTGGGCCGTGCAGCGCAGCGGGATCTTCCTGACAGGCCACGGGGCATCGTAGGACAGGTAGGCAGGCAAGACACTGATCCTCAGCTCGCCCTGGGTGGGGCAGGGAGTTAGCGAGGGCTGGCACACCCCAAAGGCCAAGCCGATGAACCCAGGCCTCCAAGGGCTCCCTTGGGTCAGCCCTCAGCTCTGCTGGAATGGGTGGCGAGAGACCGCAGCGTCCAGGCAAGGCCTTGGAGAGACCACGGCCCACTGTCCTGTGCTTTGTGGGCTTCCCATCCCTTCAGCCAAGCTCGCCCAGGGCTGGGACACTGGCCACAGCTGTGGTCTGGGCCGGGACAAGGGAAGAGCCAGGCTCAGGGGGTGCTGGAGGCTGCAGGCAAAGGGTGGGCGGCACACACACAGGCCACGCCAGGGTCTGCACAAACAAGCACGGGTGCCCTGCCGGGGCCCCGAGCCAGTTTCCTCCGCCCACAGTTGTAAGCGCACCAGCACCTACAAAGCACCTACCACGTCACCATCACTGAGTCCTCAGAGTGCTGACACCTTGGTGACAGGTAAGGAAACTCAGGTTCAGAGAGGGTGAGCATCTCACCCAGTCACACAGCTTCTAAGGGGCAGAGCTGGGGTCCAAGCCAGCAGAGCAGTGACTGGACCCTGGTTGCCCAGGCGGGTGCCCTTGTGGGCTACAGCCTCCAGTCCCGACCTCCCCAACTCGGCCTTGGCTCCCACCACCCTCTGGACACCCCCTGACTCTCCATTCCAGGGTGCCCCCATCCCGAGCCACTGAGGGCCTCTTTTCTGGGGCCCCAGCACCTGGTCCTGCTTGGGCAGCATCGGCGAGCGTCAGAGAGCCAGGCTGGGCCGCATGGGGCCTCCCTACCTGTCTGTTGAAGTACAGGAAGCCGCGGGGGCAGTTGACGTTGTGGAATGGGGCGAAGGAGTCGATGGGGCCATCGATGCCCATGGGGTGCAGCCGCAGGGCCCCCCGGCCAGTCACCAGGAGCCAGTGGGGCGAGGGGCCGCAGATGAACACCTGGGGGCAGGCAGTGTGAGGAGGCTGCTGGGGCCGGAGCCCTGTCGGCCGCAGCCCAGGCTCCCTTGGAGCCGCCAGCCTACCCCCGAGTAGCCGTAAATGTCCTCAAAGTAGCGGAACCGCGCCACACGGCCTCGGGCCCCGGCACCCTCCTCAGCGCTGCCGCCTTCGGCCTTCTTCTTGGACGGCTTTGGCTTCTTCTCTCGGAAGTTGATGCTGTGCGGGACCTGGGGAGGCGCCGCGGCCGTGAGGGCCATGTCCTCCCCGCACCCCTGCTCCACACCCTCCCCACACCCAGCAGAGCCCAGACGCTGCACCTTCTTGAAGCGAACTTTGAGGTTCCCCTGGCCGAGCTGTGAGTCGTGGGGGAAGGCCTCGTACACGAGCAGCTCCTGGTCCACGTGCACCTGGGGGCGGGCGGGTCGTCAGGGGCGGGGGCTGCGCAGAGCCCGGGGGCGGGCGGGGCCACACTCACCAGCAAGTAGGGCCTGCGCTGGCGGCTCCCCAGCGCCACCAGCAGCACCTCCTTGACGAGGGGCAGCTCGCCCTGGCGCGTGGCCTCCTCCTTCCGGGCCTCGCCCTGGGTGGTGGGCTGACCAAAGGAGCTGTCCACCAGGACCCGCTGCCCCACAGGGAAGTTCTTCACCAGGAACACCAGCCGCCAGTCGGGGAGCTGGTAGATCTGTGGGGACAGCAGCAATTAGCTGGGCGGGGCGGGGCACAAGCGGGGGACGGGGGCCATGCTGGACACGGGGCGCCACGCACCTCCATGGTTCCGTTCTCCCGCACCAGCAGGCACCAGTGGGTGGGCTCAGCCCGGAAGGGGGTGGGGTCCCGGTCGGCGGGGGGCTGGCTGCTCCTGCGGGCCTCCTCCTTGCTGGGGCTGAAGAGGGAGCCCGAGTCTCCGTAAAGCATCTCCTCCTCGTCATCCACCGTGGGGCTGGGGGCCAGCAGACACGTCAGTCACGGGCAGCCTGCCCCAGGGACCCCGGTCCCAGCCTGCAGCCCAGCCCCACACACACCTGGTCTCTGAGCCCTGGCACTCGGCCTCTGAGCCGCTGCGGCCGCCCAGCTCGTCGCGGGCCCCGCCCAGGCGGCTCTCGGTGGTGAACAGGCCGCTGACGTCCCGGTACACGCAGAGCGTAATCACCTTGGACTGCTGCGGGGATAGGGGGGCTCAGTGGGGGGGGCGGGGGGTCAGCCGGCCCCAGGGACGGAGGAGGGAGCCTACGTGGTGCAGCGGGGGCTTGTGCAGCGCCAGGCGGTGGTGGCGGCCCCCGTACGAGTCACTCTTGAGCAGGAACATGGTGACGTGGCCCTCGGCACTCATGATGACCACGTAGGGGTCGGCCACGGCGCACTGCACGATGGGGGAGCCCAGGTCCACGGGGATGAAGTGCAGCTGGTTCACTGTGGACACAGGCTGGTCAGCAAAGGGCAGTCGGCACGCACTAGCCCCGGACCCCATCCTGCCTGCCCGTGTGGCCCGGCCCACCTCCTTCCAACAGGCGGATGCCGAGTGGCGACACTTGCACGATGTAGC